TCAAAACAAACGTGTTTTAAGTTGGGCCTGTACTACATCCTTTCAAAGCCTCACCCCTGAATACCTATACTGATTACTTTGAAAGCAATGAATGGGGAATCCTTGAAGTTCTCAGAAAATTGGAATAAGTAGTTTCTTTTACATTTTCTAATTTTAATTAAATTTTTGTGAAATACATTGTACTACATAAAGCAGTCTTCATGTTATTATATGATTCATAAAGGCATTTTCTGAAGTGCCACATAGCAGTCAGGCATTTTGTAGAAATATTGGAACCTGTAATAATTATGTATGGCTTGTACTTAGGATCTATAGTTAGGGAGATCAAAAGGAAACTCTATTTTAATTTTTCAAATGATTGCTTGGCTATTGCAACAAAATAAAGTGCTTCTTCTCTTTTTTATAAAGACTTAACCTAGTCTATAAACCTTTACAATATGATTAAAAGTAATATTGAGGAAGAACAGAAAAAAATTTACATTTTTCAAGGCATTCAAATTTCCTTGAAGTTAAAAGGTGTCACCATGAAACTGAGTTCAGGAAGTTTAGAAAAACATATACACGCATGTATATGTATACATATACACACACACATATATATACCTACATATATACCTAAAACCTCTCTTTCAAAACAAATCTACAAGGTAGCTTTTATTCTTAGTTCACAAACGATACGAAGGAGGTAAAGTAGCTTTGTCAGAGTCTCATACTCAGTCTGTAGTTCAACAGAGATTATTCAAATCTAAGCCCCACAGAAACCAAAACCTTGCTCCTCAAATCCTATAATGTTGTATCTACATAATAATTAGAGACAAAGTTTAGAAAGGCATTGGTTAAATTCTGATTTCAAATCATCTAATGAATTTCTATAATAGAGAAACCACTATTATAGAATATATTTTATCACATTTTATGATTGTAGTCCATTGCTTCTCAATTTTTAGTCAAACTGAGCCTCAAATTTGAAGTTTTAGTTAATATACATAAATCTCCAAATATTCTGTCTCATAAACAAAATGTGTATTTTTAGATGTTTTTAGGATTGGCATGTGTCTGAGAACGAATTGTACATAGAATCAAGAGAAACTGAATGCATCTGTTTATCTCCTCTTGTTTTTTTCCTAGACTTTTACTAATATAATTTCCTTTTCCCCAAATAAGGAAACACTGTTTGTTTTCTGTTGCTCAGATCCCAGCTCCCCTCTGCTCTTCAGTCCTCACTTTCTAGGGATGATTTCCTCAGTCAGGAGCTTTCGTCTCCTGATTTGCTTCTTTCCATTTCTGTTTCTTTTCTTCCCAACATTTTGCTGTCTTTGGCTCCTGAGATCTACAAAGCTACCTGCAAGGACTCAACAAGCACTTGGTCTGTGGCAAGAAGCCTCACCCTTGAGCAGGTCTACCGGTGACAGGCTGAGAGCAACCCCACAACTGATGTCAGAGTGATGAAATAAAATCCAAATAAATGAGTTACTAAATTCACCCTTGAAATTAGTAAAAAAAAAAAAAAAAAAAAAAAAAAAAAAACAGCCATACATAATATGTGTTCCCATGTAGTCAATTAATTCAAAATAAATAATGTTATAAGTGATGTATATTTCTTCAGCCAGCCTCTAGGATGATTTTGATCATTGTGGCTGTGCTCCACAGATACATAGTGAGGAAAACCACCCAAAGTAGATGACCAGTGAAGTGTTCCCTATATCACCAAGGCATTTGGAGCCCTTATGGTTCCCCTCAATGCAGTTTTCTTTTTTCTTTTCTTTTTTTTTCAGTTTCCTTAAAATAAAGACTAAATGAAAAAAAGTTCCAGGAAGGCTGGGAAGGTTTTGTTCAGCATCTTTAGTGCCAGAGCTCTGTACAATAGTTTCCACATAAAAGATCTTCAAATATTTTGAATAATTAAATTGAATATTTTGATGATTCCCTACTTAAGAAAGTAATCTACTTTTCTCATAAATTTTAAAACTCAATGTATGCCCTATGTTTCCTTCACATGTCTGATGTTATGTCTTAGTGGAATCTGGGTCCAAGGAAGAACCTAAGTACAACACTTTAGAGATGAGAAGGAGCAAGCGAGCCAGACAGATGTGCCCAGGGATATTCAAGTGTTTAATTCTTCAAAGGAAAAGTAGAGTCAAATCTGAGTTCTGGAATATTTTTTCACAATTTTACCAACCCGGTTACTTGCATTATTGTGCAATATAAAGTATTATAAATTTCACATCTAGCCTCATGCAACTAGAAATAACTATTGAAATGTCAAAACCCCAACTTGGAATATTCTCTGGTAAAATAACTAGTATCGTGTGTAGGGATGTACTAGTATATATCAAATTCATTTTCATTTTCCTACTTGGAAGTCGTTCTGAATAAAGACTGAATCCCAACTGATTGGAACATATAACAGGACCACTGAGCAAGCAGGAACTCCTATAGCAAGTGTATTTCTCCTCAAGAATAAAGTTCAGGAAAGCTCATAGCACTCAGAACAACTACAGATGCCTGATAATGGCTATTCTAGGTGTGTGTGTGTGTGTGTGTGTGTGTGTGTGTGTGTGTGTGTGTTCCAGTTGTTCATCTTTCATGAGTGAGAACAGATAACACACATTCCATCGCCCCAACTATTCTCATAGTTTAGAACTTGGGCAATATAGAAGAACAAGCCCAGTGGAACTTTTCAAGCCAGTATCTTATTTGCCAAATAAAAGAAGTGGGGAACACACAGAAATAAATCACAGATTGAAATGCAACCTCTCTGTTGTGTCTGTGAAACTATGTCAATTGTGAGGTTTTTCCTGAGGCCTTTTGAGGGTGAAGATGTGTTGCACTCTGTTCACCATATGTTTTCAGCCTCCACCTGGCAGGCCTTTTCAAAAGAAAAAAAAACATTACAGCATGTAAAGTACATAAAGCTACTGTGTTATTTGTTTCCACAGTTTCAGATTTCTTATTCTATAAGAATGATGGTTTTCATATCAGTCACTAAAATCTGACTTGCAAAGTAACCATCAGAAGCTTTGTTCTGCCTCTCATTCTGGCAGTAAATACTCGAGTTCTCATTTTATTTTTCCTGTGCCTCACGTGAGTTGTTGAACACAGTCTAAGCTAAATTGCCATTATCCAAGGCACTAGCCATACTTTAGAAATTTGTGGATTCTGGTTCTCAGACCCAAAGAAAACTCCAGGATTCTAAAGGTAGTTCCACCCAAATTGATCATTATCTTTAGCTAGATGCTTGTGTCAGATACAAGCTTGTGCTGAAGAGCTGGTACACTGCACAAATGCTGTGTTGGAGGCAGGCACACAGCTACTGCATTCTTCATGTAAACGATTATGTTCAACAATTTGCAGTGTCAAATGGTTCCTAAGATGATCTGCCCCGGGAAATTTTTACAGAGAAAAGTGACAAAGAGCAGTCTACTTAACCTAAAGTCTCTTTCTACATTATCAACAGAAGAAGTTGTGAACAGATCTATTAAAGGGGAAAACATATCAGAAGGGGAAGGAGACAGAAACTAGTTTCACTACTACATGAAAGAGTCATTTGCCATTAGTGCAGGTGCCACAGGGATGTTCATAGTATTGCCTGGTCCCAGCACCCACTCTCAGCATCCCATTCTTTCGCGGGTCCTTCTTACTATCAGAGGAAGAGTACTTTCAAAAGGGAGACAGGAGTGATCAAGCAAGACCAATGATCAAATTAATTGAAGGAACTTTCAAAAAGTTAAAAGTCCTGGGGCAGATTAAAAAATATATAACAGTACTGTTTAAATCTAGTTAAAGTCCTGGTTTCCAAAACCCAGGCGAGGCTCAAATATGGATGGGAATTTAACATTTAATCTCCTTTAGATTCTGTCTGCAATTTGGCGAATTCAGTCAAAAAAGAGTTTATAGACAGGAAAAGACTAGACTAGAGATCTGGCATTCCTGCAGAAAGGTAAAAGCCAAGGGAAGATGAAATGCCTAGGCAGGAAGGAGGCAGACATGCTCTGGAAGGATGCCTGGAGCCTGGGGAAGTCTGGGGTACACCCAGAAGCGCTGACATCCCGAGATCAGCACAAGTTTGGAGATGTTCAGGAGGCATTTACTCATTCAACAAATATCTGTGAAGGTCCTAATAAAAGGAAGGCATGAAAGAGAGGGGGAGAAAGGAGGAAGGAAGGGAGAGAGAGAGAGAGAGAGAGAGAGAGAGAGAGAGAGAGAGAGAACCGAAGAATGTAGGGAAGGGGAAGTGAAGGACGAAGATGAGGTGAGGGCACAAAAAGTGTCAAGATGGGAAATAATAAATAAATACACACACACATACATACATACATACATACATACATACATACATAATACATACATACATAGAAAACCAGGCTTACCCAAAAAAGAAGGTTGAGCCAATAACTCAATAAACGCACAATAAATAATGGAAAAACAGGAAGGCTACAGGGGGTGAAGAGGATACAGGATTACAGGTTTCTGCATGAGAAGACAACTCAGAAAAGTGTCTGACAGAGTTCCTTCAGACATGAGAAAAGGCAAGCAAGAGACTGCAAGGAGCCTGAGGCATTCAGCGATGTCCCAGAAGGTCATGGCTAGGACCAAAAGAGTGTGGGAAACGGGAGGAGGGAAGGGCTTCCAGGAAGGGGCTGGGATTCCTTTGGGATGCAGGATGAGAGAAATGAAAGGTTTGGACGTGGAGCTGCAGCACACAGCTCCTGGGAAAGTTTGAGGGAAGAAAACAGGTGGTGTGAAGGGGCCATCAGGGAGGACACCGATGAAGTTGGGTCCAAGGCTGGGACTGGGCGAAGGCCCTCGCACCAGGAGATCCCGGAGGGAGTGGGGTGTCCTACCCCAGGCACCTAAGCCCAGAGGCTTGGGTCTCCCGGGGGCCACCAGGAAGCCTAGGCCAAGCCGGGTAAGGCCGGCTCGCCCCCCAGCGGTCGCCCTGCTCCAACTTTCCTGATCCCGGTCCTCTCCCGAAGCGGACCCCCTCGTCCCCGGCTCACCGAGGGCGCAGTCAGGCGGCTGATGCTCTCGCCCAGCGAGTCCAGGTTGACCCTCCGGCGGCGCTGCGCCCTCCTGGCCCCGGCGGCGGCTGCGGCAGCGACGGCAGCGGAGGCGGCGGGGGCCGGGGCGGCGGCGGCGCTGGGTTCGGGTGGCCCGGGCGGGCTCCGGCTGCCGTTCCAGCAGAGCCTGGACAGCGGGCACTCCCCTTCGTCCTCGGGGCTGGTCTCCAGGTAGTCGGAGCCCAGGGAGCTGAAGGACTCGGAGGAAATCTTCCTCCGAGACATGCTGCTGGCGGTGCTGAGGCCGACGCGGCGGTGGTGGCTGCGGCGGCGGTGGTGGCGGTGGCGGTGGCGGGACCCGCGCTCGCAGGGCAGCGTCAGGCGCGTCGGGACCGCGGGGCGCAGCGATCGCGCTCGGCCGGGCGGGGGTCCCCGGGGCCGCGGAGCCCCGCCAGCCGGCTGCTCATGGCGGGAACTTGGGGCGCCGCCGCCTCACCGTGGGGCCCGGGCTGCGAGGGGCACCGTCGCCGCCTGTGCTGCTGCACAGCCTCAGCGCCAGCCGGGGTGCATCGCTCCCGCTCCTGTCGGCGGAGATGGGGGCGCGGAGCTTCGCCCGGCTGCGGCTCCTCCGCCTGGCGCTGGCCACTGGCTCCCCGGTCCTCTCCACTGGCCGCCCGCCTCCCTCCCGCTCCCTTTATCCTCCCGCCCCCAGCGCTCCCTCCGCCGGCATCACGTGTCGCCAGCATACTCATTGGGAGTCTCTGCCTCTCCTGTCGCCACGTTTCAGGAGCAAGGAGGACACTTCGTTGCTGTCCTCTGTGCACCCTCTCCCGCCGCCACCGTGCCGCACAACCAGGAGGCGCGTCCCGGGCTCCCACAGGACCAAAGGTCCCCAGACCCAAAGGTCCTGTCCCTCGGCCCCTGGAGAGCCAGGTGGGCTGCGAGCAAGCCCTGTGGGTGCTGGAAGGGAGAAGGGTTCCTAGGAGTGAGGGATGGGATCTCCCTCTGGAGCAAACTGACCGCGCAACCTGAGGGGCTGGGGTCCTTCTGGCTCCCCCTACACACACACACACACACACACACACACACACACACACACGCCTCCCTCATCCTCCCAGTTTATTTTGGGAAGTTGGGAGGTGAAGCAAGAGGTCAGCCTGACTGTTCCAGCAGGAACAGGGGAAGGGAAGGCTGGGGCAGCTTGTGAACCTGCCATCCCAGCTTTTGGAGAGGCCGCGTGGGCTGGGAGGACAGAGACAGCCCTGTTGCTTTGCCTGAGCTCAGCAGGACGCGCAGGGCTCCAGCTTGTCGAAGCTCTAGTGCTGGACAGCTCCACTTGCCACCTGCAGACGTTTTGTCCACAGGGACACAAGATGCGGTTAGTTCCTGTGCAGACTCTGCTCCTAAGACCTGGCCCCAAGAAGCCCTGGCTAGGGTTCCCATGTCCGCTATGGGAGCCCCCAGTGGGCTCCTTGAGCCAAGTACACGATCAGTGTCCATTTGGCTGCAAAAACTAAGGGAGTGGAAAAAAGACGTTGCAAATCCCAAGACCAGACTCGCCCTTGTGTTAGCTGAAAAAAAAAAAAAAAAAAAAAAAAAAAAAAAAGTAATCTGACGTTAGAGTAGAAGATGGGAAGAAGGGAGAGGAAATAGAAGAGTCCCTTTCCCAGATCAGCAAAGCATTTGAACACCTTCCCACCTCCCTGCCTGCAGGAAGAAAAGTTCAAGTGCTCCATCTTCAGCTCCAAGGACATCAAAGCATTTTGCTTTCTGTTTTCCAAAAGAAAAACACCTGGTCCCGGTGAAGGCAGCCAGGTTTGAATGGACTGCATATTTTAAAGACAAAGTGAAAACCTCAAAATCGGTTTTGTACCCCGCTCCAATTTTCTTTTAATTCTAAATCTTCCCAGATGTATATGAGGACCCACACAAATACATGTGGGGTTTCCTTTTAAACTTTCAGAAAATCAGATTCCTTATTCTCAGACCTTAAGTGGGCATTAGGATAGGAAATGATGATGCTCACATGCTCCCATTTAAATGTATACTTATAGGATACATACCTGTGTGTTAGATATGTACTACACAGATATGCATTTGCATCTTCCCAGCCTGCTCAAGAAGTTGCCAACTGCATACTTTCTTATCCTACCCAAGGAAATTTGAGACTCTGTTTTAAAATTATTATTAATAGCAGTATCATTATTAATTAATATTATTTGGATTGCATTAACTCTGGTTGAGTTCCCCCTACACTGATTAATCCTACATGCATTTGTATACATTAATATAGACACAAATGACACATTTTGCAACTATAAAATTATCTTACTATAATATTTTATTAACTCTTTGAGAAGTCCATAGAATGTATTTGAACATACTCACTCTCCTCTCCTCTCCCCCTAATTCCTCTCAGATCCACCTCCTCAGACCCTCTTAACTTTGTGTCCTCTTATTTTTTCAAATAGCCCACCAAGCCCACTTTGTGCTACCCATGTATTCATGGCTGTGAGGCCATCCAGTTGAATGTGGTCTACCTAGGAAGACACACTCTTAAAGAACACTGACTCTCCCTCTCCCAGAAACCATCATCCATCAATAGCTCAATTAAGGGTGGGAGCTATGAGCCCCTCCCTCCTCTATGCTAGAATGTTGACTGGCTTGATCTTGAGTAGGTCTCATGCAGGCATCCAGAGCCGCTGTGAATTCATAAGCGGTCCTGTAATGTTCAGAAGACCCTGTCTTGCTCCAATCCTTCACAACCTCTGGTTCTCATACTGCACCAGAGAAGTTTCTTTATGCAGTGGATAAAGGTTAGCAGAGAAACTCACAACAGATCAAAGTAGAAAGTCAGTGTCAGTGGAACAATCAGCCACAATTGAGACATCTTTAACACACACACACACACACACACACATACACATACACACACACATTCTTACACACACACACACACCTCTACAAGCCTCAGAAACTATCTTGGAAGAGGGAAAAAATTATAGTCTTTATCATAAAGAATAACTATCAAGCTGAATGTGGTTGCCCTCACCTGTAATCCCACTACTAAGGAAGCTAAAGTAGGAGGATCATGAACCTGAGGCCAGCCTGGGCTACAGAGTGACATCTTGTCTCATTCTTTTTCAGGTGTAGCCATAAGTTCTGCTAAAAAATGTCACCGGTCTTTTGTTCTGAATGACAATGGATGATATTTTTGAAAATTGCATTCCTCCAACTAATTATATTCTTCCAACATTTGGGAAATGGTATAATAATCACTGTTCAGTATCAATCACAGCTTATGCAATTCCTAATTCTCTCCCTTGGTAATGATGCTGTGATTATGAAATTCTTTAAATTATACAATTAAAAGCTATTGTTAAAAATATTAAATAGTATGTGCCCTTCCCATTCCTTCAGTCAATCACAACTGTTCCCTTTCTCAAAAAAAAAAAGTTCTCCTCTAAATTTTTTATTATTGTTTAGGTTGGTTTGCAAAATAATTGGTTTCATTATGGCATTTTCATAAATGTGTGTCTTTATCTTTTATTCCCATTCATCCCCCTCCCAACAGTTCTATAGCCATAGTGGATTATAAACTTTAACCTTAGAACTGGAACTTTCCACTTATCATTCCAGAATGAGTTCCATTTGCTCTAACAGTTGTTAGAGGCTCACAAGTCTTCCTGTTTACACTCAAAGTTTATTGGCAGAAAGAACTCTGAACCTATGGGACATTTTTTTTTTTCTTTGTGAAAACCATTTGAATCAAAGACTCTTAGCAGAACTGAGCCAGATGAAGTAGTCTCACCATTTTTTGTATGAATTACCCTGCCTTTGATCATGATTTTCCCACTGATTTTTAAACTATAAACAAATGGAAGCCTAAATATAGACAATACACCCATCAGCTTGGCTTTCAAGAGTTTCCTTTGTATTCCTGTTAAGGAGTAGAGTTCAAAAGCTCTCAATATGAAGAGGGTTATGTTCTAGATTTGAATTAACATTTTTAAAAAGAAGCATAACCTACTCTCCATTTACAAAAGATACTTATACATGAGTAAACACAGTCCAAGTACTTCAGGCAAAGAATAGTCTACTGAAAATGAATAGTCTATGCTCTGATTTTAGGGAGAAAAAGCTGTAAAATTCATGCCCACACACCTAGCCCCACTGGTGTATCATGCTTTAATAAAGTCCTTAAATCCAAGCCCGCAAGATAGCTCAGGAGGTAAAGGCCCATGCTACCAAACCTAACATTCTGAGTTCAATCCCTTGGACCCACATGGTGAAGGAGAAAATTGATTCTGTAAGTTGTTCTCTAACCTTACAGACGGGCCATAGGATACATGTGCACACACACACACACACACACACACACAAATAAGAACTTAAATCTCATTATCCTGCTAGAAAAGTAAAATTCAGAAATATACTTGATTTATCCGTAAAGTTGTGGTTACCTGAGGACTCATTCTGATAGATCAAGTGCTTGGAAAGAAGTCTCTAGAAGCAGACATCCTACATTAGTTAGGATGGTGGCTGTACCTTGCCTTCATATATAGCATTGCTATTTATAAATTCATTTAATTTGATTTTCATTCTTCCCACAGAAGCAAAGGAAAATCATGCTTGTCATATTGGAGTAAGAACTACAATCAGTCCTGATTCTCCAAATTCTTTGCATTCAGAGCTCGGAACTCTCCTAATTTCTTTTCATCCATCTAAGTCTCCAGCAGGAAAACCTGCAACATCTGCATAAGTGTTCCCTGAGGCAGAGTTCTTTCCTAATATCAAAAGATGCAGGAAATCTCTCCCTACAGTCAATCTGTACATAAATCTGGCAGCTCACAAGGATTAGATGGGTATCATTAAAGTAAGTTCTCTAATGAAATATAGTAGCTGGAAAATTCTTAACTAGGGCAAGTTTTTCTGGATCCCTAACCTAGAAAATAACACACACACACACACACACACACACACACACACACACACACACACTGCACCTGAAGCTTTAGCTCTATGGTCATATTACTCAAATGAAAATGAATTTGTCTACCATTTCATTTTACTGTACAATTACTTTATATATGGTCTTTATTATGTTGAGATATGTTCCTTATTTCTAATTTTTTTTAGTTTTTTTCCCATGGATTGAAGCCTATTTACTGGAATATGAGCAACTTATCAATAGCTACATCACTGAAGAAAGTGGCATCACTCCTCCCTCCTCACATGCCACATTAACTGCCAATAACTCCTCAGGGAGGGGTGGGGCATCATGAGCTCTTCTCTCCTCCATAATGAAGTATTGAAGCACCAGTATTGTACAGGTCTTGTGCAGGTAACCACAGCCACCGTGAGGTCAGGAGTGCATTGGCTATGCCATATACATACAAAGACAATGCTTTGTAGCAGTCCTCACTAAGCTAAAAGGGGACCGGTATACTTTTTCAGAGGAAGACTCAACAAAGAGTACAGAAAATATATTTTACATTCTTGCATAATTTTAAGTGAAAATAAATACTAAAGACAATATCAAAGTGAGATGAGTCATCTGATTTGTGTGCATA